TTTTAAAGTTTTCTTGAATGAGCTGATTAACATAGATTTATAAAAATAAACATTTTTTAAAAACATGTTTGCAATCATCATGAGGATACCTAAACAAGAAAGCAAATTATAACTTATATGTGATATTTTCCCTAAGCCTTCCTTTCCAGCACTCTCACTGTTCCCCTTCCTGAACTAGGTGTTCTAATAAATCTACCTTGGGTTTTTCTACCTCAGTGTCTTTGCTCACTGAGAAATCCACCTCACCCAATGAAAAATATCTGTGAGTACATATTCCATAGTCCTTCAAAGCTAGTTCAGGAGATCCCTTCTCTGTGAAGACTTTCCTGGTAGAACCACTGGTATTTTTTTAAAGATTTTTATCAAAATATAGCAAACATACAATATTATATTAGCTTCAGGTGTACACCATAGTTATTTAATATTTATATACCTAAAGAAATGATCACCATAAGTCCAGCAAACACCTGACACTGTACTATTCTATCATAATATTATTCACTATATTCCCTGTGCTGTATATTACAACCCCATGACTATTTTGTAAGTATTAATTTGTACTTCTTAATCCCTTCACTTTTTCACTCTGCTTCCCAACCCCCCTCCCATCTATCACCCCAACAAATCTATTGTAGTACACATCTGCATCATACCTAGTTATTACAATATTATTGACTATATTCCTTATGCTATACCCTACATCCTTATAACTACTTTGTAACAACCAATTTGTATTTCTTACCCCTTCCTCTTTTTCACTCACCCCCAAAACTCCTCCTATTTGGCAACCATCAATATATTCTCTGTATTTATGAGTTTGTTTCTGTTTTGTTTGTTTATTTTGTTCTTTAGATTCCGCATATAAGTGAAATCACATTGCATCTGTCTTTCCCTGTCTGACATACTCCACTAAGCACAATACCTTCCAGGTCCATCCGTGCTGCCAGAGATGGCAAGAACCTATTCCCTTCCTTGGCCAAGCAATATTCCATTGTATATATGCCCCGCCTCCTCTTTATCCGTTCATCCACTGAGAGACACCCAGGCTGCCTCCACGTCTTGGCCATTGTAGACAATGCTGCAATGAACATATGGATGCACAGGACCCCTTGAGGTAGCAATTGGTTTTCTTCAGACAAATACCTTGAAATGGGATTATGGGGTCTTTCCTTGTCTTTTATTATAGCCTTTTTTAAAAAGTCTGTTTTGTCTGGCTACCCCAGCTTTTTGTTTGTTTGTTTGTTTCATTTCAATTTTTATAAAATATCTTTTTCCATCCCTTTACTTTCTGTCGGTGCATGTCTTTCAATCTGAAGTGAGTCTCTTGTAGACAGCATATGTAAGAGTCTTGTTTTCTTATCCATTCAGCCCTCCTGTGTCTTTTGAGTGAAGCATTTAATCCATTTATATTGAAAGAAATTGTTGATAAATATGTAGCTATTGCCATTTTATCATTCATAGTTTTGATCTTTTTTTTTTTCATTCATCTTAAAGATGTCCATCTAACATACTTTGTCATACTGGCTTGGTGATGATGAGCTCTTTAGCTTTTCTTGTCTGGGAAGCCCTTTTTCTGTTCTTTGGTTTTAAATGATAGCCTTTATGGGTAGAGTAATCTTGGTTTTCATCACATGAAATATTTTATGCCATTTCCTTTGGGCCTGCAGAGTTTCTGTCGAGAAATCAGCTGACAATCTTACTATGGGAGCTCCTTTATAAGTTACTAGTTGCCTTTTTCTTGCTGTTTTTAGGATTCTCTTTGTCTTTAACCTTTGCCATTTTAATTTTAATGTATCTTGATGTGGGCCTGTTTGGGTTCATCTTATTTGGNAAAAAAAAAAAAAAAGGGGGAGGAAGAGGATTGAGAAGGGGAGTGGGAAAGAGTTAGATGATTTTCTTCCCTCCACTTAAAGGCTTTCTGTAAATGTACAAGTTCTGGGAGAGGTAAGCCATTAAGTCACTAACACCTTAGTGAGAATGAGTTTTATTGGGAGTCAAGCCAGAAAAGGGGGAGGAGGCAGAAAGAGAAAGACTATTGGAAACAAAATTGAGTCTGATACTAGGAAAGTACTAAGTCAGAGATGACCCTAAATTTTTGCATTTTGTGTTAAGGGCTGGAAGGCAGTGGATTCCTGCCTGGGAAGGGAAGGGAAGCCAGAGAAATCTTTGTCCCCCTAGCATCCCAAAGTTCCAAAGACACTTCTCTAACCTAACACTTAGGCACAATTTCACTTATCTCATCTCGTGTACCCCCTTTTTCCAACCACATGCCCCCAACACAGTAACATTTACAATTTCATCGCCACTCTCCACATTTTATTTAGTCTTTCCTGGTCTACATCTCCCCGCCCCCACCCCCACGCCACCACTGTGCAAATGCCTCCCTTCCATGTCAGTGGCTGGCTTCAGACAACTCCCATCCTTCAAAAGCCATGATCAAGCGTGGGCTCCCCGCAAAGGCCCATCTCTGTTCCCTCCCCAGGGGCCAGAAATCAAACTCCTTTCCCTGAGCCCCTTAAAACTTTATCCATGCCTTTTCCCCAAGACTCAGCATTTTCTGTCTTGGGTCTGGTTGGGTTCCCTGGTTGTCTGAGCACTCCCAAAGGGCAGGAACTGGGCCTCATCTGCCTCTCCGACCCAAGAACCCAGCACAGCGCCTGGCACACGGTGGGTGTTGGAGAAATGCTTGGAGAACAGGAATTTGAAATCAGGAGCCATATATTTTAATTGCAGTCTGGCCTTTAGTGACCGACTGCAGGGGAAGCCCTCCTTGTCTCTGGCCTCAGTTGTCCCAACTGTAAAATGAGGGGCTTGGATGACTGGGTTCCTAGGCCCCTTCCACTGTGACAACTGGGATTCCACGAAAGCTCTAAGCTGCTGGGTGTGGCCCCGCCCCCTGGGAGCCCAGAAAAGCCTGGGAGGGGGGCGCAAGAGGAAGGGCTCCAACCCCGCCCAGACTGCGGGCCGCGCTTCCCGAAAAGCTCGGGGTCCCCCTCCCCCACGGCGTGCACCCCGTGATTGCGCGGCGGACTGCACTTCCGTACCGCGGCCCTGCGGCCCGGGCAGGGCGCGCACTCCACGCCCTGCGCCCGCGCTCCTGCTACCCTGGAGGCGCTCGCGCCCGGACAGGGCTGGGGGTTCCCGAGGCGCCCGCGGGCGGAGGGTGGGGGGGAAGGAAGGAGGATTTGCAACAATACCTCTGGGAGGAGGCGGCCGGGGCAGCAGCGGCGGCGGCGGCGGCTGGAGGCGGAGGCAGAGGCGAAGGAGGAGGTGCCCGGGCACTCCCCCTCCCATTGTCCCCAGCCCCGGACAGGCCCGGCCCCGCGCCCCGCACCGCGCCCCGCGCCCCGGGCTGTGCAGCCAGCCCTTACCTTGCAGCGCCCGTCTGTCCCCCGCTCGCTAAAGCTACTTATATCCCGGGAAAGCTCGCGCGGGGCCCGGGAGCGAACCCACAGACAAAAAGTGAAACTTCGGCAGGGCCGGAGCGGCTGCTGGTTGGTGCCTTTCCCCCTCCTTCCTCCCACCGTCCCCACCCCCTCCCCTTGGTCTCCCGTGCGGTGCCCTGAGAGCTGGAGGCTGACGTCAGGGGCCTGAATTCCTGACTTTGCCTGCACGCATTTGTCCATGTAAGGTATGGGAAGGCGGGTGCCCGCAGGGCCGCCGCGCGACGCTCGCCTGGCGGAGGAGGGGGCGCCCGCAGCGGCCAGTGGCTTGGCCAAAAGGTGGGCGCACAGCGGGCATTTTATTTCTTAGGAGAAAGGGGTGGAGACCTGGGGATGCAGGGAGCTTGAAAAGGAGGAAGGAAAAGAGGGAGGTGTGGGGGCTTTGCCTGCACTGGAGGAAGAGGAAGAAGACGTAGCAGGAGGAAGTGGCCAAGTTTAGGGGCTGAAGAAATGACAGAACCTGCGTCTGCTCTTAAAGCTCCAAATTAGGGCGCTGAGCCTGAGCTGCAGGGATCCTTCCCTGGAATCCACTTACGAGATGCCGCTAGTGAGCCCCGCCCTAGATTCCCTGCCGACTCAAAATGGACTGGATGTCAGATCTGGCAAAAACCAGGTTCCATCCCTTCCACTACACCCATGAGAAAAGTGAAGCTTTCGGAAGAGAAATGACTTGTACAGGGTCATACACACCACCGATCCGGGCGCAGGACCCGCGTAGTCAGCCTCCCAGCGGTGTTCCCGCCTCTAGACAGGGCTCTGACTCCCTCCTTCCCACTGAACAGTGAGTTTGATTAGATGTCAGCGGGCCAAGCGGACCACCCAATGGATGAAGAGATTTGGAACTTCCTTTGGCCCGGGAGTCAGTTCCTGGAAGGTCTTATTGACAGCCCTGAATAGCAGAATCAGTTACTTCAGGGCTACTTCCTCTGTCCTGTGTTCAAATAAAGGAACCCCTGGAAGTTTAACGTTTTTTCCTTCAGCCCTATCTGGAAGTCCAGAAAGCTTACTCTGAGTTTATAGCTCCAAAAAAAAGAAAGAAAGAAAGAAAGAAAGAAATCAGCGAACTGGGTGAACTGGTTTGAATAAAGGCAAGCCTGTTCTTGGAAAGTTTGAGGGATTTTTTTTTTCCCTCCAACATTTGTAAATGTGATCAACCATGAAAACAACCATTTACTGTAGAGGGGTTATGATGTGCGGCAGCCATTGCCTGAAAGGCGTTCCAAGGCTGGAGACTTTGTTTCCTTGTATCTGTATCCTATTAATATCTACAATAATAATCCCTCACCTCAGCACATAATTAAAGTTCTTCCTCAGTGGTTTATTAGATCTTCCTGTTATAGGACAAAGTATAGTACCTCTTTCACATCAGAGGAAAAAACTGGTAAAATGACTTGCCCAACACAAAAGCACCTGAACTCACCTCCCCCTAGCCAGGTCACCTGACAAACCCCATGATGTATCCAGCCAACCAGGAGTCCCTGACCACCAGCAGGACCTAATTCCCAGTCAAATAACTACTCATGAAACTTCCAAAGTTTTGGGATTTGGTGACATTTTTTTGACCATGAATTAAATAAATGTAGAAATAAATATATGTGTAAAATAGTGTGTGTGTGTGTATATATATATATATATATATATATAAAATTGCCCTTAGCATCTATTTAACACCTTCCCTGTGCAAGGTCTTTGAATCCAGACATGCCTGGGTTCAAATTGCTTAATCTCCCTTCCTCTCAATTTCTCATCTACGCATACAAAAATATGAAGATAGTATCAGAGAGACAAGGTCAAGAGTATCTAGTCCATGTAATAACGAAATATCTTTCTCTTTGCAACTAACGTGGTTTGAAATAGGAAATAAGAGCTCTTAAAAGAGATTATGCTGTGGGATTTGAAAAAGATCAGATCCGATTACAACACAATTCACCTACTCGGTCTTCAACATTTCAGCAAACCCATGTTCTGAGTGCCACTGTTTAATATGGAAAGAATCTTGTATCACACAAAGAATGGATTCACCCAATCCTCATCAGATATAACGGGACTTGACCAGCATTTCTTTTTTTCTCCATTAACCCACTTATAAAGAATAATAGGGTTCTAATGAGGATTAATAAGATTTAATAAGGTATAATTAGAGTCATTCATTCCCTCCATCACACACATTGTAAGAGTGCTGTGTTGGATCCAGAAATGCTACTAATTATGTTGAAACTGTTATATGAGTGTATTGGGGAAGCTCACTGTGTTTCTCCTCCTGAAATATTTATGAATTGGTCAGGTGGGCATGGTGTTAGCACAAGCATTACATAAAGTTAATCACAAAAGATAATTTCAACTCACGGGGCACTCACCAGGAGTGTAAGAGGCAAAGTCATAAATTGGATTCTTGGCAAACCACATGCAGTGTTGCCAGTTCAAACTCAAATCAAAAGCCTCATTTTCATTTGCTGATCTGGTTTCTTATATTCTCACTTTTCTCAACATCCCTATTAAAACCTGTTGTGTGCTGGGGCTTGGGAAAGAAGGGAATGTTGTATAAATGTGCAGACTCAATGCTAGAGAAACACAGATTTACCAATTCGAAGATTAAAAGAAGCACAGAATTTCAGGTAGGGCAGAGGCCATGTAACCAGAGGATTCTGCATGCTTGAGGCTGAGGGCCTACAGGAGCATTCTCATTGTTCCTGTGATGGCACACAAAACTTTGAGGAAGACCAGGCTCTGGTCCCACCCTTCCCTTGTATATATTACAGTTCCTTACCCAAAGGCCTTTGTCTAGTCCACATCAGTCTTTTCTTTGTGCTTTTCTTTATACCAGGCAATATTCTAAGAATTTGTCATATGCATTTCATTTAACTCTCACAAAGCCCTTCTGAGGTTGGCATTATCATTTTCCCTATGTTGCCCAGAAAATAAAGTCCAGAGGGGTTAGGTAGCTTTCTCTTACGTGGGTAAGCTGAGATACCCCCTGATCCCAGGCATCCTGGTGCTTAGCTCACCCACTGCTGAGTGACCATCTGGTCTCAGCTGGAACACTCCAGTGTGCAGAACTCAATCTCCCACAGCTGACCAAGGGGAAAAGGTATGAAGAGGCTACTGGAGAAACAATACGAGAGGGGCATGGAATACGGAAGGTAAATACCAACCTGATGTTGCCTCTCGCCAGCTTAAAACCCATCAGGACAAACTCCTTAGTGTCATTTGCACAGCCCTTCAGTCATTTCTGCCGGTCCTCCACATGCCCGCTCCAGCCCATTGCAGTGCTAGTGTTTCCCACACCTTACCTGTTCCTGCTTCTCTGCCTTCACACAGGTT